AAGGATTACTTAGGCGCGGTTGTAACATTGATTATCTTGCGACATAATTCTATGATATTTCAGACTCGAAAAGGTGTCAGCTTTTGAATGCACTGCTTTTCAATCACCTGTAGAAACCGAACTCGGTCCAAAATGACTACTTAAGTAGCGTGCATTTTTCACATAGATTTTCGATGGTCTTGCAAATTCAATTATATTTCATAGAAACCACGAACAAAAAAATGCTTTCTTCTAGTCGTTTGATAGAGAATCACGTCATCTTTATATTTTATACTCGAAGAAGGAGTATAACTAGGTTTTGAAAAGTTTTCTAATTCCCAAATAGTTTGGAGCCCGATCAGTCGTTGCATTAGCGCTTAGTGATTTCAGTCTGCAAGGTGCATGCGTTCCGCGTAAGGAAAATGACATATTTTTCTATGCCTCTAATAAGATACTATATAGAGTCCATAAAATTTTGCAGTGGATGAGGACCACGTTGTATATTTCATGAGGAGCACTGGTAACCGGACATGTACGATGTTGTATGAATGGACATTGCTCTTACTCCATAATTTGAAACCGAATGACGCTTGGGCGTCCGGGCCACAGCTCTATTTCTAAAAGTGCAAGTTTTAGGACGAGCCGTTCCAGATTCGCTTTACGCACGCTCTCCACTAAGTTAGTTTCCCTTCCTGCTCACGGGGCGTTTTTGGAATGTGGATTTTGGTTGGCATTAATGTAACGACAAACTCCTCAGCCTGAATGAACTCAGTTCCTCCCTGATATTAATGCGGCATCAATCCGATATTATCTGAGAAGATCAGTAGGCCACTGCAGCTGGTTAATTCGCCACTTCTTAGTCTCTCCCCCTTTCAATGGCAAAGAGAACACATTCATTTGACGTGCCAATAGAAGCAGAAATGCGCATCTCATTCATTCAGAGGCAAAAAACATCCGTTGTCAAAGAAGCACATTGTCACCACATGTTCCTTCCGAGCACGAAAGATGAACGGAGGATTTCCGAATACCCATCTTATTCTTTTTTGCAAGTGATCATTGGAATGCTGCTTTTCCGACTACAGTTCACGAAATCCGGGACCAGGTGAGACTACCATACAGGTCCGAAACACGAAGGTCTATGCGTCATTCAGGCAATCAGGATACAGCGAGAGTACGGATCACACTTCTCCTCCAAACGCGCACTGGCTGCAACGGGTCTGGTTGCTAAAAGAAACGAACGGTTATGCGCGAACAAGCGTGGGCAAGCACACACTGAGGCCAATCTCCAGTTGCTATGGAAACGAGTTCCCACGAGATGCAAATATAACTGGTACCTTGAAAAAAGAGCCGAATCTAAGCGAGGAAAAAAAGGAAACCACGCGACCGCGGTAGTTAAGGGAGGGGACACGGGAACCACGGGACGGGTGCTAACTGTAATTTGAAGGTTTTATAGCCGGTAACATGACCGCTTTTTGGAGAATAGAAAAACGTTAGGTCGCATTTGCTGTCTATCGTTGTGACTCTGTGGCGTTCAGAAGGAAAGCTTTCAGATGAATAGCCGATAAAAAGATCTTTCTCCAGTTCTTTTGTGGAAAATGATGATTTCATGAACATAAAGGTTTTAGAACTACAAAATGGGTTCCAGCTAATGCGTTTCCCGATGAACATTTACGGAAAAATCGGGCCATTTTAGCACTCCAATTTAGACGTTGAAGAACATTGTACGGTGTCTGGTGTGGTCGAAAATATCCTTGCAACACGAATGGGACATAAAAACGGAAGGGTAATAAATCTGAAACAGCCGCAGTCTGTGAATAAAATTAGGAACCATTTTTATAAATCCATTCTAGAATTCATATTTAAAGAATGGTGGGTTTTTTAAGTTTAACCTGATGACCAATTAAAAGACAGCAAGCCGACTCAGCACATACCACAGGCGAAGAACCCCAGCCTCGAGATCTTTCATTTGAATACAGCCGTCAGAATCAGGATCCAGAAGCATGGTAATTAGGTGTAATTCGACGCTTGTGAAAGGGGCCTTGAAGTCTGCCAAAACTGGATAAAGCCTCTTCATAGATAAAATACTGGGACTCACCTGCCTTGAAGGTGTCGTGTGTGACAACCTCCACATCAGTACTGTGAATAGCACAAATCAGCTTCCAAACGTCGTCCAAGTGTACGGCAAACCATTGGACAACTCGTTGCAGAAGATTATCATATTCCTCAGTTTTGCTCTTATACTGTGCAGCCGCCTTATTCAGCTCCAGCTAGGAAGGAACAAAGGGATACAAAAGTAGAGTTAGGGAACATTAGTAGTGGTGTAAACACTTTCAATCGATCAAACACAGTAGACAGGGAAAAAATGTGTCCTAGTTTATTTCGTACCCATTCGACAGTTTCCTTCATTTCGAGATTGAACAGCCGCTAATAAATGGGTTAAACCAAAAGTCGTTTTCTAGTAGGCGTCTAAGCGAACAAACATATGATGTACTATTTTGCCGTAGAGTGATTGGTGCTTCTGATTCCTAAGGCGCACTTTTCAGACGAAGTTAAGGGCGGTTCTACTAGCAGAACCAACAGCAAAATTTGCACTTGAGACTCACCAACTTGCGTTTGGTACGGAGAGCCTTGCGGGATCCAACCTTCCTCCCGCGTCCAGATCGCCGCTTCGAAGGGGACCGTGAGGAAGTCCTCGAACGACTCCGCTTGGAGCGCGCAGAACGGATTTTAACTTTTCTTAGAAGGAAAAGTTAATGCATAAAGTTCATATTTCATTGTTAAAAATAAACTGCTACCACAGCTACTGCCCATTAAGGTATATTCCTTAAGATGGGACCCTGATGAAGGGCCTTTTCTTTCCTGCCGTCAGCATCAGGGGCTTTGGAAGTCTTTTGACCAGAAAGGGAAGCACCTTAAACGCGTGGTTCCTATTTGACAACAATCTGTATAGACAGATAGACGAGGTATCTATGGGCTGACCCCTTGGCCTGCTTTTGGTAAATATATTAATGGGCAAGTTAGAAACTTTCCAGTTACGCCACCAGATCAATGGTCTGTGATGCTACGGACGGTACGTGGATGATATATTCGCAATTGCACCGAAACAAAATGGCATCTAAATCCTATTGGATGATATAAATCAGGCGCACTCATTAAGCAAAAATTCACGCTGGAAGAAGAGCAGCCCGGTTTGCTTCCCTTTCTGGAAATGTTTCTGAGTAGAAGGCGTAACGGCAGTATTCGACGTAGCATATATAATAAGAAAAAGTCGTCCGGACAATACGCCCATTTTGGGCGTTTCGTACCGCTAAGCGTTAAAAGTAAGTTAGTCCGCTGTTTGACAGCAAGGGTGAAAAGGATATGCTCAGCAGATAGCATTGAGAAAGAACTTAAAATCACTGAAAGCCTTTTTCGCCAGAACGGGTATCCTGATAGTTTGACTGCTAAGAACATGACCGAAAGACTACCAAAGCCCCCGATGCTGACGGCAGGAAAGAAAAGGCTCTTCATCAGGGTCCCATCTCAGGGAGACGCGCCAAGTGAACTTTTAAGATCATGCCTTAATCAAACTGCATCACGGACCCTTCCAGCAGCTGACACCCGTGTACTGTTCTCCATTACTTCCATCCTATATGGAGAGGGCAAGGACAAACTACCAGCTCTGCCCACCTCTATGTGTGTATTTGGTCGCACTAACCGGCGTTTTTCCAAAAGAGTAAAAAAACACCCTCCAAAATGGTTAGAAAAGGGTCAAATAAGCAACATCAACAGCTCTATCCTCGTGCACATGGTAGACACAGACCACCATGTAAACGCTAGAGAGGCCTTCAGACTGATTTACAAGGTGTCATCAAGCTATCGAAAACTATTTGGGCAGCGCCTATTGGCTACGGCAGAGGTAGCTGCAATCAGGCTAAGCGAACTGATCCTATGCGCACAAAGGAACTTCATACAGGTACCACAGTTGCCACGAGTCAAAGCCACCGAGCCAGCCATCTGCATATAATTACCTTTCCCGGATCCACCTTCGCCCTGGCGCCGACTGCAATTCTGGTGTTTCACTCTCCGCCTCCCCTCCATTCCCCTCTCCAAACCCGAGCTACAGCTTAATTATCTACTTGCTCGTGTCTTTTAATTCATTACTGCAATAGTCATATAAATTTACCGACCTGATGAGAAATTATCGAGGGCAGACGTAGGCTCGCAAAATTGCCTTTTGAATTTTTCAATGGGAATTTTCGCAATTGGGCTGCATTCCGTCAATTTTAGGAATAAATTACGACCCCAGCGGTGATTGCGAGAGCTGATAATTACGGTGCCGCATATCATCCCACTGAAGCCGCGTGCTGTAAATACTGCACTCCTTGTGCCACCATCACCTTTATCTGGGAATATATCTGATGATAAATTCGAGTGAGAATCCGAAACGTCAGGCCAATAAATTTCCTGTTCCAGTGATCGCATCCTCATCTTCTGAACTGCTACCTGAAACTCGCCTGTTCACTTCTATCAGCAATCTTTTTGGGCGCGAAGCGCTCCGATCGGCTCGACGGTGGGAAACCTTTGCCCTTCGAGAGTCGTCTACATATGCGCAGATTCGATTTCTGCACAGGTGTCTCGACAGCACTGTGCTGCCGAAGCGCGTTTCATACAAACCTCCGGTCAACACAGAGCTGGCGAGACGCGCACTACTTCAGCACGGCTGACGAATGATCCGAGTGCTCCTTTAAGACTGTCACTCGCGGATTCGCAAACACCGTCAGAGAAAGCAAGGTGCTGTGAGTTCATGGGCGAGGAAGGCACAAAGCTACTTCAGCAAAGGCCGGCCGAACGAACCCGCGAAAATAAAGCAACATGCGAAGCAGCCCTAGAGAGCAAATTTCGTAAGCTGCCTGCCCCAATGTCGTCCAAGAATGACAAACTGGTGCACAACTTGTCGTCAAAGGAGCTGACTGAGGAACAAATGCAACTTTTAACGGCATGAGGCCTCATTCAACACAGCCGACGCGAAACCTACCAACATGATCGTAGCAGTGGAATCAATCCTCAGCCAGACGGGAGCGACAGGCGAAACAAAGAACCTCATTCGACGCCAAGTGTCCTCCCTCCTCATGGCTCATAGGTCGCGCGATGTACTTTCCAAGGTCGAGCGCGATGCACTTAAGGAACTCAGGGCCGACAAAGATCTCGTTATCATGCCTGCGGACAAGGGGCGTTCAACGGTCGTATTGGACAGGACAGACTACAGTCAAAAAGTGAAAAGCTTGTTGGGGGATCGTCAGTCCTATGTCCCATGCGAATCCAACCCCATAAAAATGCTGACAGGCGAGATTAACGCGACGCTGCTGGCAATGGAGAACTCATGTGCAATATCGCCAATCGACCGACACATGGCAAGAGCACAAGAAACGGCCCTAGCCCGATTCTACGGTCTCCCAAAATTGCACAAAAAGGGCGCTCCTCTCCGCCCTATCGTATCACTAAAGGGCATTCCAACCTACGAACTGGCAAAGTGGCTGTTCCAACGTCTCAAGTTTCTGACCTCCGATTCGAACACCACGGTCAGCTCGTCAACGAAATTCACGGAGAATCTTAAAGGAGCAAGTCTCCTGCCAAGCGATGTCATGGTTTCCTTTGATGCCACGTCCCTTTTTTCTTCTATCTCGCAGGACCTGGCAGTCGAGACCATCGAACTACTCCTACGAGAAAAATACGACGAAACGGAGAACCGTCTTTAACACGTCCAAATCATCCAGCTCCTGAAGTTCTGTCTTAAGGCGACTTTACGTTCGACGGAAAAATCTATGAGCAGGTGAAGAGAACGCCAATGGGTTCGCCGATTTCGGAACTCATAGTCGAGGAGGTCCTACATCGGCTGGAGTAGCTGGTTTTCCGACACCACAGATCGAAATTCTGGGCTGGGTATGTGGATGACACCTTTATCGTCATCGAACGGGATCAGGTGCTGGCATTCACAGAACATTTCAACGCCGTCTTCCCGGACATTCAATTTACGATGGAGGAGGAGGAAAACAATCAGCTGGCCTTCCTGTATGTCCTCATCTGCTGCAAAGATTGTGGTGGCCTAAAAACCACGGTGTTCAGAAAAGCGACAAATACGATGTAAATACTGAATTTCAATAGCAACCGCCCGATCAGCCACAAACGCAGTTGCGTAAGGGCACTATACCGGCACGTTGAGACGCACTGCAGTGAAATGGAAGATAGGGTTCCTGAATTACAATATCTACGACGGGTAATGAGAGCCAATGGTTACCCGCGCAACTTTGTCAATCAGTGCATACGAAAAGGACACCAGAGACAAAATCCAACCGGCCCAAAATCTTGGCGGGCTCTTCCGTACGTGAAGAAAGTCTCGGAAGCCGTCAGTCGTCTTCTCACTCCACTTGGAGTTGGAGTTGCAAACAGGCCGGAAGCAACCANGCTCCATAGGAGTAAGATCATGACAAAGGAAAAATTTTGCCTTCTCTAGGTACGCAGTGACACGCTCTCGATGGGTAAAGATTGTGTCAACCTCGATTGATGAAAACAATTTGACTAAGATGGGTGGATTTGTACTACGGGATGACAAGCGTTTGGCATCCGCTATTTTATAGTTGAAACCACATGAATACAGGAAACTGGTCGCAACATCAATTGGCCGAGCAGATCGAGGAACATTTTTTAGCAGGAAGTTGTAAGAACGCTTCTGTCTATCACTAGATTCACTGGAGATCAGGTGAACAAGTGAGTCGAGACGCCTACATTCTTCAGAGGGAATATCGGAGATGTTCCCGTCGAATAAATGTCCAAGAATTGTCAGCAAAGAGCCAAACTTTAGCATAAAGTCATTGCAGTGGTCAAGTGCAGACAGATTAAGCTGCCGACCAATTACAACGGGTGACGACTGACTAGTAATATCATCTGACTTAGACTTAGGTAAAGCTTCTGACTTACGTTTAGTTAGGCCATGTTTACTTACAAGAGCCGAGAGCTTACGTCGACCAGTGACTTTTGGTCTCATCTTGTCTCGAGGCAATTTGTGATTAAGAGAACTTCTGGCAGACAAGTTGACTGAATTTCAGCTAGGGGCTAACGATGTAAAAATAAATTACAACAGTTAGAGAGAAATCGGATGCACAAAATGAGAATTGCAAAGTGCGATTAGTGAACAGCGGGCGTAGACTAGCAAATCTCGAAAGGAGATGGCAGCGGGCAGTTCTTAGAGAAAAGGCCTGTATTTAAGGAAATTCAACCAAAAAGCGGGTACTAAAATCGTTAGATCTCACAGAAAAACCACTAAAAATAATATCCTCCACTTATCTTCAAATTTAAAACCAGCGGCTTGACCTTTTAGATGTAGTTGTTTCCCTTTTAGATGTAGCCTTATCCGACACCAAGCGTCGCCTCTCCAAATGGCGCACAGGCCGCAGACAGTGCTTTCCAAGGTCGAGAGTAATGAGCTTAGTGATTTCAAGGCCGACAACGACAAGGCCATCGTGCCAGCGGTCAAGGGTCGTTCCACAGTTGTATTAGACAGGACTGACCACCCTTCAAAAAACCGAGGGTTAACTGAAGGACCGACAGTTCCATGTTTCATGCGCAACCACCCTTGTGAAAACATCAACACATGAAATCAAGGCTACGTCGGTAGCGATGGAGAACTCAGGTGCAATAACACTGACCGACAGACACATGGTGAGACCTTAAGATACGGACTTGTCTCGATTCGTTAGCCTCTTTAAGGTGCACAAATAGCGAGCTCTTCTCCGATCCACTGTGCGGCTCAAAGGTACTCCAATGTACGGACTGGCAAAGCAGCTGTTCCAGCGTTTCGATTTCCTGACTCTAAGTCAGACACTATGGTCTCCTCATCAGAGTAAATCGTGGGGAAACTTAAAGGGGCAAGGCTACTTCCAAATGAGATCATGGTATCTTTTGGTGATATGTTTCCTTTTACCTTGATTCCACAGGATATGACGATCGAGACCAGCGATTGGCTTCTAAAAAGCGAGTACGATGGAACGGAGCATCGTCTTTGACACACCCAAGTCCTTCAGTTCTCAAGACTCGGCCTGAAGATATACTTCACTTTCGGCGGAACAATCTACAGCAGTTGAGAGGAACAAATGGGTTCGCGATTTCGGGACTCATCGCCGAGGAGGCCCTGTGACGGTTAAAGAAGCTAGTCTTCAAACACCACAGGCAAAAGTTCTGAGTCCGGTATGTGGATGATACCTTCGTCCTTATCGACCGGGATCTCAACGCCGTCTTCTCAGAAGTACAGCTTACGATAGAGGAGCGGAAAAACAACCAGATGACCTTCATGTATGGCCCTGTATGCTGCAAATATTGTGATGGCCTAAAACCGAAATGTTTAGGAAAACGACAAATACGGCGAAGTGCTGGACTTCAACAGTAATCACCCGATCAGTCACATGCTAGGACGCTCTATCAGCGTGTTGATTGCCGAACTGCAATAACTTCGGCGGGTACTGAAAGCCAGTGACTATCCGCGCAACTTCCTCAACCGGTGCACACGCAAACGAAATGAAAGGGCAAGTCACACGGATCCCAAATTTTGGCGAGGGCTTCTGTACGCAAAAACGTTTCGAAAGCTGTTGACCTTCTTCTCACGCAACTTGGGGTTGAAGTTGTGCACAAACCGGAGGCAGATACCAGGCGTCAAATGGAGAAACCGAAATACCCACTGCTTAACAAAAAGCGTCTCAAGCCGTTTATCTGATTTGATGCAGATGCAGACAAAGCGCGTACTGTTAAATATCGTCGGTTTTTTTCTGTAAATGAAATCGATATTTGCAATAAACTATCCATGAATGTTAAAACTCTGCAATATTGTCCTTTATATAAGTGAACTATTACTCGATTTTTGCATTCAGAAAAGCTCTCGCAAATTTTGGGGTCGAATCCACTGATTGACTGTACCGTAGCGATGGCGTTTGTGGTCTCTGACCACTATGGCCGGTCTCACCAGGCACAACTTCTTTGGCCAACAGCGACAGCTGTTCTTCGGCGCCTCTATTTTTACTATCCCCAAATTCATGAAAAGTATTGGCGACTGATAATATCCGATACCGTGCAATCCGTCCCTTCTTAACGGTCGAGAGTTTGTGAAAAGCTCCCACAAGTTTTGGGTGCTGAAACCTCTGATCGACTCTACCGTAGTGATGGCGTTTGTGTTCTCTGATCACTATGGCCGGTCTCAACAGGGACAATTTCTTTGGCCAACAGCGACAGATGTTCTTCGGCACTTCTGGCTGGACTAGCCCCAACTTCATGAAAGAAATTGGTGACTAATATTATCCGATATTATTAACCGATATTATCCAGCAGTTTTTTTTCTCCTGAGCCCTCCGAACCATAAAAACCATCAGTTACATTTTTATTCCTTTCCCACAGCAGGTTTTTTTCACTGCCGGCCGGATATCTGTTTAATTCTTCCCTGACAATGCCTGTAAACTGGCATTAAATAAAAATTATTATTATTATTATTATAAATACGTCGGAGAAACTGGAAGATTGCACCGAAAGCGAATGGTCCAACACGTAGCAGCAGTGCAAAGAAATGACGCCAGGCTGAAACTGAGGCTCAGTCAGTGAGATTCGGCTACATATTCAACTTCGAGAAGGCCGATATTCTCGTTAGGGATGCAACCGCATGAGTCGCGAGTTGTTTGAGTCATGGTTCACTGGTCCCCAATCAGTAAGTACAATGACCTTCTCATTCCATATTCGATGCCGAGACTTCGTCCAACGGGGTAATTAACAATGCGGGAGCGCACAGACGTGCACTGCTCCTTACGCCAGGGTCGGTGGGTCAGATGATTGAGCAATTATCATTCCAACATCCAACACACGTGATGAAATTGAAGCAAGTAACGACGCGAATGTCGGCAATCAAATTGCGAGCACACGAAATGCAACGATCCCTGATAAAGAGGGAGGGGCCGTGAATATTCATAGGTATGCGGTAGCATGACGACTGCATCCTATAAAAACTGAAGCCTCTTGTGCATGAACCACCCGTATCTAATTTTGTCTCTGATGATGGGTTCGATCGGGAATCCAAAACGTCAGGCTAATAAAGCTCTTGTCCCAGCGATCGTGTCTCCTTCTTCAAGATATAGACAGCCCATCTGTACATGCCTTATATGACCTGCCCATCCCACCGCATTAGATATCCGAGTTTTACACAAATGCTGTGGATTGTTCGGATCTTACACGGGTTTAGGGAAACATGGAGACCGCCTGGAGAAGCTCTTAAAGACAGCGGTGATGGTTTGGCTGTTGTTCGGTTACCTCACTCATATCCTGTTTGTCCGCACCCGATAGTTTTGCGTCCAATAAACAATACCGTAAAATGGAGCGCTCATTTTAGACCCAATAGAGGTAGTTAGATATCCAGAAAACTGAGCAAAACCGCCGATTCAGATTAATTACTTAACGTCGGATTTTAGCCTCTCTGACCTACGACTCGCCAGATGACCCTACGAATTCGACCTTCTCCTTCCATATTCGATGCCGAGACTTCGCCCAGCGGAGTAATTAACCACGTGGGAGTGAACAGACGTACACTACTCTCAACGCCAGGGTCAAAGGGTCAGGTGGTCGAGCGACCGCCACATCAACATCCAACGCCCGTGATGGAACTGCAACGGTTAATGACGCGAATGTTGACTATCGAACAGCCACCACACCAAGTGCAACAATCTCTGAT